AAAAAACACCCCACAGCTATTCAGTGACAGATCCAGAATGATGGAATTCACCCTCAAGCTGGTGTTCTTTCCCTGCAAGATCACATTCTTCAGATCTGGCTCTACTGTCATGGTCCTGGTGTTTAATGACATCCTGTAATGGAAAATTCCATTCCCTCTGTGGAGCCCACCTCCATTGCTCCAGCAGACATAGACACAGCCTGCCTGAAAAGTAGCAGGTGCCCACTCTCATCCCAGCCGGGTAAGCTTCACAGAGCTACAGACTACTGGAGTGCCCCTCCGTGCTCATCACTCCCCCACCCAGAATCTTTCACAGTCAGATGCCTGCCTGGCCCCGGTAACCTCATCTCCTATCATTATGAGCCCAGCATCTCACAGTCCATCCTTGGGAAAATGCCTTGGTTCCCCAAGCCAGCTGCTACCTCTGTGCCTTTGGGTATGGCACTCCACCTGCTGGAACATACTACGCCTTAAACCTAACATACCTTCCAGGACCTCCTCGGCTCTGAGAAGTCCTGTCTCCCCACCCTGTACTCCTGCACTCCGATAAATCAAGACTTGCTTCTCTCTACTCCCGCAGGTCCTGCACACCCCATTTGTCAAAGTGTAGTCCCATTCATAGATGTGGAACAGGGGTGCTCCATGTGCAGCTGCATGGAGTCCTCCTCCTACCCACCACACCTCTGTACCTCCAGGAAGAGAACAGTGTTGCTGATGGCTGCCAGCCTCTCCAGCTCCTGCTTGCTTTTCTCCATCTCTGCACTCCTGTACTCCAGGTGGGTCTTGATGCTGTTGGCCTGGTTCAGAGCAGCTTGTTCCTTTTCCTCCAAGAAGAGCATCACATCAGCCTGGGCCTTCCTCACAGCAGCAAGGAGTTCCCCAAACTGCTCTTCAGCTGTCACCTTGACTTCTGACACTGACACCTGGGGGTTGATGGTGGGGCGGAATGGGAAGCAGACAAGAATCTGTTAGCGAGGTCTCTGACTTTATCCAAGCTCAGTATACAGAAACATAAACCCGAGAAACCTATAAATTAGGGAGCAAATGTCCTACTGTAAAGTAAAACTTTCATTCTCATGTGAACTGCGGGCTCCTGGCAAAAGGTCTTCCTCTCCCAGGTATATGTTCTTTACCAATCATGGATTTAGTCTCCTTAGTCTCTTCACCCAGTTCATGAAAATCATTATACAATTCTAAGATTCCTTCCATTCTTGACATTCTGGGGCTATCAATCAAGTTTCTGAGATCTGTTTTCCTACCAGGGAAATGCCTGTGTCCAGTACACTTGGAGTTACATTTCAGTACATAATTTTTTCATGTGCATGAGCAGTAGAAATCACCTTTCTTGGCATTTCGCTACATCTATTTAAGAAGGTCACTGAGGTAGCTTGAGCCAAAAGCATATCTAAGATTATAGTGTTTCCACAAGGCACAGAGCTCCCATAAGACATTAGGGTATGTGTAGACAACCATGGCACCCAAGCAATTGCAGGATGAGCATATTGGTACAGAAGACAATACTATAATCAAAGTACCAAAAAAAATCAGTATGAAGGGTGCTTGATGACACTTGTGTATGTAGAACTTTTTCACAGCCAAATGTCCTTTATGAAAGCCTTCCAGCATCATCACATCCACAACATCAGTCCAAGGTCTAAATGATTTCTTCTGTGGGTGGTTCTTTTTTTAGGGGTGGGCGGTCAAGATAAGGTCTCGCTATGTAGTTCAGGTTGGCCTGGAACTCACTAGATAACCCAGGCTGGGCAATCCTCTTGCCTCAGCCTCCCAAGTGCTGGAATTACAGGTGTGTGCCACCACACCTAGCTTGTTTGGTGGTTCTCAAGCATGTAGAAGCTCTCCCTGGTGGTGTCCAGTTGTGGTTTATTGAACAAATATGAATTATCTTGTTTAATTTTGTATAAAGTTCATGGGTATAAATTCCTTTGTTTTTACTCCCTTTGCTCCTACCCCACAGCCCAAAGCCCATACTCTGCCTGATTCAAACTCCCCAACTGTTCCCACCCAACTCCATTCCCTTCTGTAGTCCTTTTAGTGCTGATTTCTGTTCCTTCTTCCAGGGTGAGGGCCAGACCTAGTCATCAGGGCTTTAAATGGAGCCAAGACAACAGACATCCTTGGGGCAGAGACTGCAGGTACATTTCTCTTCTCTGAGATCCGGGGAGAGTAAGACCCAGACCCCAAAAGGAGTCTCAGTAGAAAGAGGACTCAGAAAGGAAGGTGAGTGAGCAGTTCAGCTGGGGTTTAAACCCATGGGATCTCATCCAGCACAGGTTTGTGGAAAGGACCGTGGAATTCATCCCATTAAACTGACACCTTGCTGGGACCAGGGAAGGGACAGAGCTTAGCCCCTTGTTCGCTGTGGGCACCAGATAAAAGGGCACACTTGACATCTCTACTGGACTAAATGTACTGTAAAAGCTGCTAATGAACAAGTGATAAAAAGAAAAGGATGCCAGTCCTCCCCAGCAATTACAAAACCAGTAATTTACAGATGTTGCCTTCTTATCTTTGTAAACACTGAACTCTGGGACAATTAACCCTCACTGGACTTAAATCTAAATGTCAAATTGGTTTGTTTTTTTTTTTTTTATGCAAGGGATCGAACTCAGGACCTTGTGTTTGTGAGGAAAGTGGGGGACCCACTGAGCTAAATCCCCGGCCCTTGTATCTTCATATTGTAAATATGAAAAAACAGATGCAGATGGCTACCATAGAAGAGATGTCAGTTTTGTTTACTACCATTAATGGGAAGAGTTATTGGTGTCTTTTCCTAGCTCTGCTTTACATAACATGTTGTAGTTCCCTGGCTCACTCACCCTTCCTGCCCTATCAGACTGCAAGTGTCTAGGTTTCTGAGTCACAGAGGCCAGCGGGGCTCCATGCCCTATCCTCTCCTGATCACCAACATAAAGCAGGAGCAGAACAAGACACAGGAACCTACATGAGGGAGTCATAGGAAAGGAGTAGAAGACATTCACTTTCTATAATCACAACCTGTAGGTTCTCAGAGAAGCATGATATCTTGAGCTCAGAGGCATGAAGATAAAATGCAGGTAGGTAAAAAATCTCTGCCCACCCTCCCTGAGGCCATCCTGGGTAAAATGGCCTCAAATGATATTGGTGGATTGACTCCTGTTGTGGCCTCTCCTTCCTAAACCTTTCCATTGAGAAATACTTCTTCTTTTAATAAGGTATTTTAAGTAAGAAAGAGCATTTATCCTTCAGCTGCTAGTTCGTTATAAGCATAGAGTAGAAATTAACTGAAGTGTATATATGTATTAGATTGGATGGGTAAATGGATGGATAGGTGTGTGTGTGTGTGTGTGTGTGTGTGTG